CACCACATACTGTCATGTCAGCTTCTAAAATATCTGTGTAAATCTTGTGGAGAGTTCAGAGGTCAAAGGGAGGGAGGAGAGAAAAAATAAATAACATACCTACATAAATCTCTTTCTGACCTGTGCCACCCTAGCCTGAACTACAATCATCTCTGTCCTGAAATCTTGCTATAGCTTTCTAATGGACTTGATTAGCATCTATTTCCATCCATTCTTGTCCCTTCTGTTCTACCGACTACACTACAACTAGGATGATGGTTTTGAATCAACCCTGATCTTGTTGCTCCTCTGCTTAAGAATTTCCAGTGCCCTCACATTGCTCAAGATCGTAATTCTTTGGTCAGGCATTATTTGACTCCTGCCAACTCCCCAGCCTATCTGACACCCCCTTGCTCTCCCTGTGGTACAGAACTGTCCCCGTTCTCTGTCCTACAAAAGCATCATTCTCCTTCCCTGACGGACATCTTCACTCATGCCTTTCCTTCTGCCCAGAATGCTCTTTCTTTCCCTCCTCTCTTTACCTGGTTACTGAATATCCTTTCTTCCCAGATACTGCAGTTTATAAGACACACCATTTATTAACAATTTTCTAGGGAGAAAAATAATCTCATACACTATACCTATGGCAATTGGAAATCCATAATAATTTTTTAAACATTTAATTTGAAAATATGTGATTCTTAGAATTAAATAAGTATAATCAGAAAGAGTGAGAAGTTACTTCCGTGTACGTGGTTTTATAGCTTGCTATTTTACATGGTTTTCCCTCTTATTGTAACAATGTGTTAGTCAACTTTTTGTGGCTATGACCAAAGTACTCAGCAAGAACAACTTAGAGGAGGAAATGTTTATTGTGGCTCACCATCCAAGAGGTTTAGTCCATGGTTAGCTGACTCCCTTGCTCTGGGCCAAGGTCAGGCAGATGGTCATGATGGAAGGGCGAGGCACAGGAGCATAGCTCACATCATGGTGGCTGAGAAGTAGAAAGAGAAAGCGGGGAAGGGGCTACAGAAAAGATAAACCACCTCTCCAGAACCTGCTCCAGTGATTCACCTCCTCTAGCCATTTCCCATGACTTAGTCAGCTTTGTGTTGCTGTGACCAATATACCTGACCATAACAAAATAGAGAAGATTTATTTTAGTTCATGGTTTCAGAGGTTCATTCCATGTTCAGCTGAGGCAGAACCTCATGGCAGAAGGGTATGGTGCAGGAAAGCAGCTCAGAACATCATACCCGGAAGCAAAGAGAAAGCTCTGCTCACCAGGAACAAAATATAAGTCCCAGAGACACCCCCACTCCCATGGTCTACCAACCACACCCTGCCTACCACCCAGTTACAACTCTCATCATTTCACCTTCAAACATTCCCATGGTAACACAGGTTTTGGTAGACATCTTATCCAAACCATAACAAACACACAACTCATAAATATTGTCTCACCTATTAGAAAGCAAGCTTCAGTAAGTGGCATTTACCAATAAACCTCTAGTTCATAATGAGGTACCTAGCACAAAGTTGGTGCTCAATATTTATGTATTAAATGAGTGAACAAAATGAAGCAACATGTTTAATTCAGAATTGTTTAATTTCTCTTTATATAATGTTCAAACCAGGCTTTTATGTACTTGTATGGGTTATCTATTGCTGCTGTAACAAATCAGTCCATATGCAGTGGTTCAAAATAAGACAAATTTATCCTCTCACAGTTCTAGGGATCAGAGATCTCAGCTCAGTTTCTTTTCTTTTTTTTTTTTTTAAGAGAGAGAGAGAGAGAGAGGAGAGAGAATTTTTTTTTTTAATATTTACTTTTCAGTTTTTGGCAGACACAACATCTTTGTTTGTATGTGGTGCTGAGGTTCGAACCCGGGCCGCACACATGCCAGGTGAGCGCGCTACCGCTTGAGCCACATCCCCAGCCCTCAGCTCAGTTTCAATGGAATAAAGTCAGGGTGTCATCAGAGCAGATTATTTCTTGAGGGTCCAGGGGAGACTCATCTCTTTGCTTTTGTCAGTTTCCAATGGTTACCTGTATTCTTGGCTTGTTATCTTACATCTTCAAAGAGTATCACTCCAGTCTCTGCTTCTGTATCACACCACCTTCTCCTCTGATTCCTCTTGCCTCCCTCTTATATGAACTTTTGTGAATGTATGGGGCCCATATGCACAACCCATGACCATATTCCACACCTCAAGAACTTTATTTTAATCACACTGAAAAACTCTTTGGTCTATGTAAAGAAATATCCAAAGGACCCAGGGATTAGAATATGGACATGTTGGAAGCCATTATTCAGCACATCATCCACTCCTGTGTTGAAAATTATAAAAGTGTTAGAGCCAAGTTGGAAAATAAAGCATGGACCAAAAGATGTCACATGAGAGTCAAGAAATATATGGTTTAGACCTAGTGTGATTACTTCCTAGCAGTGAGATGCTGAGTAAATCCCTTCATCTCTTCAGGCCTCCTCTGCAAAATGCCAGGGCTCAAGCCTATGGTTTCCTGCATTCTATGATGATGGGTTCCCAGCAGTTATATGCTTGAGTATGCTTTTACGCTGTCCTCACTCCTAACTTCACATGGCCATGTGGCTTCAGATATTCAAAGCAGCCTAGGAAAAGGTTCCAAGACTCCATCCTTCCACTATGAATGATAAAGAGCTTTTTGTTGCTAACAAGATTTTTCTCCAGTTCCCGTTACATTCTAAAGTCAATTTCAGGAAGAAGTATTACAGAAAAACAGACTGTTTGCAACATAACAAACCCTGAATGCTTCTGCCTTTATGTTTTTCTCAAATACAAACATAGAGTAGCCTTGATATAAAAACAAACAAACAAATCTAAAACTGGAACAGCCAATCTAAGTACAATATAACTACTTATTAAAAACCCACTCCTTAAAAACAAAAGGGGAAAGTGAAGTAACTAAAATTATTGTCCATGCATCTGACACAAAGCATTACATTCTAGATACCTAAGTCATATGCAAGACTAAACAAAAAAGAGTCACAGACACTACTAAATTGCATACTCATTTAGATGAACAGTTCCAGAAAGGATCAAAATAGAGGATTTATGTCATAATGTTTCTCTCAGCCTACCTTAGTGCCAAGCTAATTGGCCAGCAAGTTTGAGATGAATTGAATCAACTTCCTGTAATATTCTTCACAAAGTGTGAATACTTCATGTGATTTCGGGAAGATCAAGTATATATGTTCTGGGATGGGGCTAGAAGCACTGAAAGAATGAAATAATATGTGAGGGAGTTAGGGAACATTGGTGAAATCCCACAGATAAATGGCTGTCTGTGTGAGCCCTAGGCTTCCTTGATTTTCAATAGCTCATTGAAATACATATATATATATATATATATATATATATATATATATATATAGAGAGAGAGAGAGAGAGAGAGAGAGAGAGAGAGAGAGAGAATTTTTTTTATGGTCACAATACCTTTATTTTATTTATTTATTTTTATGCAGTGCTGAGGATAAAACCCAGTGTCTCATGTGCTAGGCTAGTGCTCCACCACTAAGTCACAACTCACTGAGCCAAAGAGATAAATTTTGATGGAGAAATAATTAATTTTAAAAAAGTGAAAGTTGGACTGGGGATGTGGCTCAAGCGGGAGCACGCTCGCCTGGCATGCACGGGGCCAGGGTTCGATCCTCAGCACCACATACAAACAAAGATGTGTCCGCCAAAAACTAAAAAATAAATATTAAAATTCTCTCTCTCTCTCTTTAAAAAAATAAAAAATAAAAAAGTGAAAGTGAAGGTGAGGCTTTTAGCACAGGGATAAGAGGTGTGAGCAGAAGCAACTCTTGGATTGGGAGGATTAATCAGGGCAAGGCTCATCTTCAGATACAAGCTGATCAAAAGGAGGCTGTTTGGTTTGGTTTTTACTGGAGCCCTGGCGCCCTCTCGAGGAAAGACCAGAGCAGTCAGCATTTAGAGTGAAGTGCGTTCTCTTGGAAAGAACTTCATTCTGGCTTTGGAGTCAAGATTGTTTCCTTTCCTGTTTTGCGTATTGCGTTTCTGTTTCACTAAGCATTCTTTTAAAACTCCTCGGCTTTAAAATTATTTAATCTTGTAAACAAAGTCTGGAGTTCTGCATTACTTTAGGAATGAAGACAATTGCTGCATGCTTAAGATACTTTGATTTCAGTTTAATTCCTGAAGGTGAAGAAAGCATTTCAAATTCTTTGAGTCTTTTCTTAAAAGTATAATTCACATCAGAGCAGTTGACCTGATATTTCAATAAATCACAACTTGAGAAGAAACTCAAAGTTGTTTCCACTCATTTCCTTAGACAAGTCCTTAGAATTTACTGCCATTGGTCTGAAAAACATCTGATAAAGAGTTGTGATTTTAACAGTAGTGGAAATAGGGAAGTGAGTGGCCCACAATCAACTCGAGATTATCCCCTATCTCATCTGCATCTAGATAAAAGGAGTTGGAGGCATGTGTGACCAATTAGTGGAGGAGTTTCTGACTCAGGACTAGACAGGTGGTATTTTAAAATACATGAAGTCGGCAACCAATTATAGGCTCAGTTTAGCTTCATTTCTCAGAATACACCAAAGTACGGGCAACACTTGTGCCTGATTTCCTCTTGATGAAGACCCTTTGAAAATCCTGTCACAGATAAGTGGTCAGCTAATTAAAGAAGGGCGGAGCTTGTTCTGTGCATTCAGTATTCATTCTGATTTAGGCATGAAAAGAGATCACTATCCTTACTTTTAAAAGGGAAGTAGGCAAGAGACGGCACATTTTTAGAACCAGCCTTCATCAAATGGGATAATTTCAGTGAAAAAGCAGAGTGATCAAGAAGGAAGAAAAAAACTTCTGATCATAGTTGATTAGGAGGAAGAAACAAATTAAAATGGGCGTTCTCGCAACGCAGCGAAATAAAGGGTTAGGACCATTTCCTTCTGAAACTTTAAGAGCAAAAGGGAAGTTGCCAGTGGCCTCCTCCTTTGGCGGGTCCCTCCTCCTCCCCGGCCGCACGCGCGGCGGGGTTCAGCACCTCGGAAAGCGCCCCCTCTCTTGGCGTAGGGGGTTACGCATGCTCCTTGGGGCCGGCTGCCGCGGCTTTGTGGGTGCGAATATAACTCGGGTAAGCAACTCTGGTAACTCTCTGGGAAGTACCGATAGCGGGTACAACAGCTACAGACCTCCAAGCAGTAAGAGGGAGGTAGACGTGACTTCACGTGCTCTACTTTTCCTTAAAAGGACGGAAACCTCGTCCGAGCAGCAGAGAAAACCAACAAAGGTACTGGAAAGAAAAGGAACCGGCCCGGAATCGCGCTCCTGAGCAGCCAGAAGGGTTTTGCGCCAGTGCCCAAGTGACAGTGGCAAAGGAGGAGGAAAGTCTTAGGTGCGTACTAGGGACTCGGGAAACTCCAACTTTAGACCGAGAAACCTTGGACGCAGGTCGCTTTCCTGGAGAGCTGCGTTCCTTTTTGGAGCATCTAAAGCAGACGCTGAGCTCAACTCCTGTGCCCAGAGCTGCTTGTCGCGCGCACCGGAAGCCATCCGCAACCAGTTCGTAGGCTCTATCTATCTTCAGCGGCTATTTTGAAAGCTCCCGCGCACACCTCGCCTGTTCTCCTGGGGATCACACCACGGGCGAACTGTGCTTCCTTAGTTCTTATGCACCGGAATATGAACTAGGGGTATCTGCTCATACAGGTGGTTGAAACAATCACGACGGCCACCATGAATAAGGCGGCTGGAGGTGACCAGCTCGCAGAACTCTTCAGTCTGATCCCAGGCCTCCTGGAGGCGGCCAACAGGAGTGGCAACGCCTCGCTGCAGCTTCAGGATTTGTGGGAGCTGGGGCTGGAGTTGCCGGACGGAGCGGCGCCGGGGTATCCACCCAGCAGCAGTGGGGCCGAGAGCTCGGATGCAGAGGCCCGGGTGCGGATCCTCATCAGTGCGGTGTACTGGGTGGTTTGCGCACTGGGGCTGGCGGGCAACCTCCTTGTGCTCTACCTGATGAAGAGCAAACAGGGCTGGCGCAAATCCTCAATCAACCTCTTCGTTACCAACCTGGCGCTGACGGACTTTCAATTCGTGCTCACTCTGCCCTTCTGGGCGGTGGAGAACGCGCTGGACTTCAAGTGGCCCTTCGGTAAGGCCATGTGTAAGATCGTGTCTATTGTCACCTCTATGAACATGTATGCCAGCGTCTTCTTCCTCACTGCCATGAGTGTGGCGCGCTACCATTCTGTGGCATCATCCCTTAAGAGCCACCGGACCCGAGGGCACGGCCATGGCAACTGTTGTGGACAGAGCCTGGGAGAGAGCTGCTGCTTCTCAGCCAAAGCTCTGTGTGTGTTGATCTGGGCTTCGGCTGCTCTGGCCTCGCTGCCCAATGCCATTTTCTCCACCACCATCAAGGTGATGGGTGAGGAGCTGTGCCTGGTGCGCTTCCCTGACAAGTTGCTGGGTGGCGACAGGCAGTTCTGGCTTGGCCTGTACCATTTGCAGAAAGTGCTGCTAGGCTTTGTGCTGCCCCTAGGCATCATCAGCCTGTGCTACCTGCTGCTGGTGCGCTTCATCTCAGACCGCTGCGTGGTGGGGACCGAAGTAGGGACAGCAGCTGCTGGGGGAAGCCTGTCTGGAGCTAGCGCTAGGAGACGGTCCAAGGTCACCAAATCAGTGACCATCGTGGTCTTATCTTTCTTTCTGTGTTGGCTGCCTAACCAGGCGCTCACCACATGGAGTATCCTCATCAAGTTCAACGCGGTACCCTTCAGCCAGGAGTATTTCTTGTGCCAGGTGTACGCGTTCCCGGTGAGCGTGTGTCTGGCGCATTCCAACAGCTGCCTTAACCCAATACTCTACTGCCTAGTGCGCCGCGAGTTCCGCAAGGCGCTCAAGAACCTGCTGTGGCGTATCACGTCGCCTTCGCTCACCAGCATGCGCCCTTTCACAGCTACCACTAAGCCAGAGCCAGAGGATCACCGGCTGCAGGCTCTGGCGCCACTCCACGCAGCTGCTGAACCTGACGTGCTCTACTATCCGCCTGGTGTAGTGGTCTACAGTGGGGGACGCTACGACCTGCTGCCCAGCAGCTCAGCCTACTGATGTGGACTAAGACTCGTGGTACACGTGGAACAGCAAGGCTGCCTTGGGGCAGGGAAGCAAGGGAATCGCTTACTGGAGGAAAAGCGGAGGGACTCTGCATCAAGAATTAGGTGGGAAAGGGATGTGGAGACCTATGGAGCAGCGGCCAGTGAAAAAGCTGGAGGCACTTCTGTGGAGAAATGTGAAATCAGGTGAAGAAAGGAAGTAGGCAAAGGAGTGAAGATCAGCCCTCTGGACCGGAGCTCGAGGCTTGGCTGACCCTCCTACCCCAATGCAGAGTCCTCTCCTAATGCTGCTCACGTTGTACAGGGTGTGGGTGCCCAGAAGTAGAGAGGCAGCAAGGAAGTAGAGAAATTGGGGCAAAAGGGAGTGAGGATCAGCCAAATCATGTGGGAACAACTGGGCCCTTATTTCAGCTATTTTATGACATTCTTGATGGGGCCCTTAAGGTGCATGCAGGCAGGAGAGCCATCCAGGAAACCTTTGTTTTGAGCTTTGACTCTTGAGACTGCAAAGGCTTACTTGCTGTGTGGCTGCCCTGGGAGCCTTGAGTTTGGGGAAAGAAACCTTCTCGGAGTTGAGGAAATCGAGTGACCCTGTTGACCCTTCCCAGGAGAAATGGTGAGGGAAAGGCACTCCAGGGCAGCCAGACAGAGCAAGCAGGCTCAAGCTGAGCCTTGCTGGAAGGGCCTGACTTCTGTGATCAGCTGTCACTAGGGGCAAAACACCTGTCCTCAGTTTAGATGAAAGATCCACTGGAGAGTGGATCTTTGCTCTGTGGGAAACAGCAGTGCAACTGGAAGAGCTGAAAAGGGAAATTTATTTCGTCTACAGACGGTGAAGGAAAAAGGGAACTCAAATTTAGCATTCCCTGGAAAGCCTAATTCCCTGGGTGCTCTAGTTTCTCTGGAGAACATTCTGGGTTCCTGGAGACACCATTCTCTCTAGTCAGTCACTGCAGGTGAGCTGGACTCAGGAGCATCTTGAAAAGCCCTCCTGGTATCTAGGGTTGAGGGGAGGGTTCTACAGCCCTTCCTTCCTCACTCTGGGAATTGGAATGCCACGTTGATGGAGACTCTGGATCAGGAAGTAGAGGGATGATTCAGATTTCATGTTGGATTAAAAGAGCAAGAAATGCTGTAGAAATGTGCAGGGCTTACTGCAGACCAGATGCTAGATTCCTAGAAGCTGGTGTTGGATCATTCAAGAGAATGTGTGGGATGGGAACAAGAATGGAAAACCAAAGTAAAATCTTTATCCTAAAGGAACAAGTGGATTGAAGAGGCTGCTCTGAGGGGCTTATCATAACTTCAGGTGTGAGATTATTTATTGCTCACAGCATTCACATGGGAAGGTAAGATATAGGAGATTACCTTAACAACGTGTATTTATTTTAAAGAGTGTATTGCTCATTGAGCATGCATGATAAATTCTTTCTCAACTTCCAGACAGTCAGTGGGGCTGTCTCTGAGGAGCAACTTTTGTTGCTCATGGCAACTCTGTTATTGTAGCAGTTTAAGATGCTAAAATCCTCACAGTGTCCTTTCTTGAGGCTATTCTGAGAATTGAAATTAAGCATCAGTCTACCTGCCCATCTGCTGGGACAGATAGAGGTGCTACTGTTCTCTTTGGCAAGTTGTTTGGGGATCAAGAAGCTGTTAATGCAAGCACCTCCTGGGATGGTCATTCTAATACAATAAATAATCATTAGAAAAACATGTCTGTTTAAATAGCCTCTTCAACTGTGGAAGTGTTTATAATTTTGTTGAAAAATTCCTATAGTGTCTGGAATTTAAGGCTTAAAATGTGAGATCATCCCTTGTCCCACTTTCTGTAACACAACACAGTGGAATTGCTAAACATTCATATACTTTGCCACAAAACCCAAAACTGCCCATTTCAATTCTGAGAAGTATTACGAAGTTAACTCTTTTTGAATACAGAATGGTTCTTCTGTTTCAAAGCAATTAAATAAAACTTTGTTCTTTAGGAAAAAAAGAATCTATCAATAATAGTAGTAATCAGGCTAAAAAGGTTGAAACAGAAGCTCTCTTCATCTCTAAAATACAAATATAGGGAAAAATCAATGTAGGAAATAATAAATAGCAGTATAGACATGCACAACACTGATTTTAGACTCTTACTGAAAGATTCTTATTATAGTAACTTAATATTATAGTTTTGACAATAAAATTATGTGTGGGTAACTTATAATTCTCAGGAAAATACATTAAAGAGTGTGCTTCTACTGCTGTGGAGACTAGAAAAAGAGAAGAAAAAGGACGAGAGGGCAAGGTCTTCATGAAAAATTCTGTAACCACTGTCACCTGTCCAAACCCAAAGCTTAAGGCTTCTAAGAAAATGGCAGAAGGAACCAAAGACCATGACTTCTTTCCACATAAGGACACAAGAGTGGACAAGGAAGTGGTCAAATCCATTGAAATCTACAGTGATCCTTTGTATGCCTATTTTGTACAAGACTCTGTGTTGGGGGCTGAGCTCATGCACCTGAACAGACACATTTCTGACTTCTACATTCAGAAGGACAGACAGCCAGTGATATGATATAAGACAGGGCAAATTAATTGGAGGTCACTGTAAGGCTAAAATAAAATGCAGAGGGAAAAGGAGGGGAGGGCCAGAGACTTCTTGGTCAAAATAGTATTTGAGATGGGCCTGGAAATATGGGTATAAAAAATTTAGGCAGAATGAGGGGGAGGTTAGAGAAGGTAGATGGGACATGTGAGGCTGAGGAAGAGTGGTGACTAAAGAATTCAAGGTCAAAATGTCAGATGATGGATTAGGGAAGCAGGTAGCAAAGCAGTGTAGCTTCCCTTTCTCCTATGACACTTCCTGGGATCTCTATTTAAAATATATGTCTCTGGGCATGTATTTGCTTGGGAAGAGAATTATTTTTTGGCTAGATCATGTCATCAGTGTATTGAGAATAAATACTTGGGTTCCCAAGGATTAAAGACTTTTTAAAATTGGCTTCTATCCACTAATTCAAACCTTGATGGATTTGAGTTTAATGAATGAAATTTCAAAATTTGTGTGTGTGTGTGTGTGTGTGTGTGTGTGTGTGTGTGTGTGTGTAAGACAGAGAAAGAGAGAAGGAGACAGGGAGAATACCAGCATCTGCTATGGCTCCATTCCTCAGCCCAATAGCCTATCTAATGTTCCAAACATTGAGGTTTGATCTAGTAACTTCACTTGTAATCAAAACCCTGCCCTATGGTTGGGTAGTGCTGGCTACGTTTCATTTCTTTAAGGGTCCAGGTAAAATGACTCTTGGCTACAGGCCATATTCCCAGCTTGCCCATCCATTTGTCTCCAAATCTTTAAAATGCCAGAAAAGTCCTTGAAGAAATAGTCAAGGAATACACGGTACCCTGAAGATTTTTTAACTTAAACTTTCCAGAGGCCAGTAAAATGTAAGGAAGGCAAGAGAGGCGTCTTGATACTGTTTGTAATGCTGACATGTTTGACATGTGTCCTCTGAGCACTTGCCCATAATTGTTCCATGCTATGGGATAGGGAGCAGGTGCTTTCTCTAATCAGTCAGTAATGACCTCCTTTCTCCAGGATGGATGATAGATATGTGGGGAGGAAGATTGGAATAGTTGAGGGTGGTTTTATATGTGCCCCCTAAATAGAATTAGGTGACTTCATTTGAGAGTGACTGTGTTCATTGAATGTGGGAATGGGGCGCCTGATGAAGGGGTAGAAAATGAGCAGCACACATTTGGAGAAAACTGAGCAAGGCTTGGAGGCTGATAAGTGAGATGTGGTAATACAGCCCACCTAGTGTGGAAAGCACCAGGGATCTGGAGAGAATGGGATGAGTGCAGAACCTGGGGCACCTAACTTCAGATAAGGAAGCTACAAGTCCTACAGGTGAGGGGGCTGAGCTGTAGGCAGGAAGGAGCAGTTGTTTCACTGCAAGCCCCCTGCCCTCCACTTCTTGTCAACTGCATGAGTGTGCGCACGGACAGACACACATCTAAAATGGCCAGAGTCATATGGAGCAGGGGGTGCTCCAGACATTTTGCTCCAACGACAAGTATGATAGCTGGGAAACAGCAGAGGGCAGGCTCTTTAAACAAAAAGGAGGCAATCAGGAGAACTGCAGCAGCAGGGTGGAAGTCCTAGCAGTAGCAGGAAGAAGAGAGTAAGTTTGTTTTATCAGGGATTCATGTGCATTTTGAGATTATTGGAAAAATTGGGAAGGGACAGGGCACTGCCACACAGAATGACGAAGGGCTCACTCTTAGGCTGGTCATCTCTGGTACTGCACTTCGATCTAAGCAACCAGGGTCTGTGTTTCATCATTAGAGAACCCTATTCTGCCCCTAACCCTCCAGCCATGCCCCTCTGAAGGGCAAGGAGTGCCCCCACTTCTAGGTTATTTTCCAGCACCTAAGACCCCGTGACTCCCCATCCAGATGTCTCTGAGTCTATTTACAAGGCGTTGGTGGACCTTTGCTGAGTTCATCCTCCAGAGACAGAGCACACTGCTGAGTTTATGCACCCTTAGGAGGGAGGGGAGGCTGAGGGGTGGCTGTTTGTATGGGTGATGGAGGGTGGGGGAGTGAGGATGGCTAGGGATGTGCTAATGCCAGGTGCACACAAGAACTCTTACATGCTGTGCAGAGTGGAAGGAGGAGGGAGCAAGGAGGGAGAAGAGGAGGGAGAGCTAATGGGCTGTGGACCTTGGGCTTCAATTTATCTTTTTGTTCTGGCTCTTGCCAGTGTTAGAAGTAGGTCCATACCACTCACACCCCCTACATTTGTGTGAAAGAGGAACCAGTGCCTACCAAAACCAACCAGAGCATGCTCCCTCTCTTTGGATTGCTGCCTCCAATGAGTCAACAGTCCACAGTCTTGGACATGCTATTGAAGCCATCCATTCTACTATGCATGAGACAGGCAAAAGCAGCACCCAAATCCCAATGTCCCAGTTCTTAAAGACTCATTTCCTTTCTATAAATTTCTTTTCAGCCCAAAAGGAATTCAATTGAAATTCACCTGGAGCAATGATTGTTTCAGGGAGAAGTGGGAGAGGAAGCATGTAATCTTTGTAACTTCTTAGGGTGGGTTGAAAATTCTCTATTCTGTACTGGTCAGGCACATTGGGAGTTGTGTAGGTAGGCAGTTAAGAAAGACAGGAGCACGAATAGGGATGGGGGGATAGGATGATGTGCCCTTAGCTGCATTGATTAGAGCTAGATACCATTCATTGAACCCTGAACAGTACCAGCCACCAGGCTGCATGCCTATTTTATGGAAACGGACTGTACTGCCACTCATGAGTTGTGTGGCTTCAGGTGATTTACAAAATACCTTTTTTGCCTGAGTGTTCTTTTTTTTTTTTGGTTCCAGGAATTTAATCCAGGGATGCTTAACCACTTTTACCACTAAGCCATATCCCCAGCCCTTTTTATTTATTTTAGGGTCTCACTAAGTTGCTTAGGGCCTTGCTCAGTTGTTGAGAATATCTTTGAACTTGTGATCCCCCTGCCTCAACCTCATAAGCTCCTGGGATTACAGGCATGTGCCACCACAAATGACTCAGTTTTCAGTCTGAGTTTCTTTATCTACAAAATGAAGATCAGTAATGATATCCAGTCTCAGGGTTACTGGGTTAATAGGGTAAAATAGGATAGTGATAAGTACCCTGTATGTGGTATTATATACATTATTAATCATCACAATCTCTGAGACAGGAATTATTATCCCAAATGTATAGATGAGCAAGTGTATTTTAGGCAAGTTAAATAGTTTGCCAAGGAGTAGCAAAATCAAGATTCAAAAACAACCATATCCCATAGTTCGTAGTGTTCCTATTAAACAATGCTGTCTCTCCAGGCTACTCAAACTTCACCACACGGGAGGCAATTGAAGGGGTATGGCTAGAGAAAAACTGCTTAGCTTGGGGGAGAGAAGATCATAGAAGAACCCAGGGGCTTTTTCCTAAGAGACTTTCATATCCACTCCACAGGATGAAACAAGGGCACAGACCAAAGAAAAATGTTTTTACTGTGTAATTCAATGAACTGTTTAAAAGTGAAAAATCTTCCAGAATGAGATGTTCAGGCAGAGTTGTTAGGGATGTCATAAATCAATGGGAATTAATTATGAGCAAATTAAATATGAATAACTCAATACCATGAAAGAAATCACCAGCGATATTTTGAGTATTTTTGGTTTGATGAAATATCCCCAACCGTACATAGACCACTGTTTTAAAAAATTGTATTCTAGAATGAATCTACTCATCGTAGGTAGATCTATGAGCAAGTATGTCTTCCTGGGTTTCATCCCAGCCTAACATGCCAGGTGGAAAACGGACCCTGCCCCACCACCCCTTGCACTGACATGCAGTGAGGAAGGTGAGCATGGCAGGTGCTCCCAACCACACTTATCCTTGCCATCAGTGCACAGAGGTATAACCCAGACAAAAGATGCCTGAAACACAGGGATGGTTGTGCAGGGGATTTGTGAAACACGAGGAGTGGGCAGATGACTCCAGCAGAAATCACAACACAGAGAATCCAATGGCAGACCCCAAACATGCAGAGCCACAAAAAAAAAAAAAAAAAAAAAAGACTTCCTTCCATGTGCTGCACTTGTCTGAGGTTAGGGTCGATGTCTCTTTATTGACTTAATCCACCATGTGTCTTTATTGACTTAATCCACATATCTAACAAAGAGAGCCACAAAGCAACAGCCAATCAGTGCTACTGCAGAGGCCGTAATCACCACGACGATGACACTCCCAGCAGTGTTGACCAGAAATCCAAGGCTACCTCCGACCAGGATCTGAGCCAGCTGCACCATACAGGTGAGGGCCGCACAGTCCACGCCCTTCCCCCGCCCATTGCTGTCTGGGCCTGCTCCAGGGGCCTGCATCTGCAAGGAGAAGCACAGGAACGGTGTTTGATCTTCAAGGAGCTGTCACTGTGCTGAGGTCTGCAAATTTTCTCCATAAGGAACCATATGCCTCTGTGAGTCATAAGGTCCTGGCCATAAATACCCACTTTTGGTATTACAGTGCAAAAGCAGCTACCTCCGTAAACAAACTACATCCTAACATAACTTTATAGACATTAGTTTTCAGTCTGAGTTTCTTTATCTGCACTCAGTTTTCACTTTCATGTCATTTTCACATGTCATAAAACACTAGCCTTCTTTGGGATTTTTATTGAATCATTTAAAAATCTGAAAGGAATTCTTAGCTTAGAGACTGTACAAAAACAGGTAGCAGGCCACCTTTAGGCCATCAGGTGCTAATTTGCTAACCCCTGATTTCAGGCCACAAGGAAGCTCCACCCTCCTATCTGATGCTATCCTCCTTACCTGTCACAAAGGTTATAATTCCACTGTTAACACATAAGAGGGATGAGTGCCTAATATAGGCAAAATCATCTCTTCCTCAGAAGTCATACAATGTAGTGGGGACTCCATAAATAAAGACTAACTCCCAGTCTTTTTCTCCCCTCATGTTAAAAATGCAAACATTTTCAGAATGATGTCTAATCATTCACATACTTAGGGGAAGCAACATCAAAATCAACTCAACCCTTCAGTATATAGCTATTTGTTTAACATAATTGTTGGATTTGTGTTTGGTCTGAATTGATAAATGTTGCCAGTGTTTTTGCAATTTCATGCTGAGATGGATTGGATTCAGTTATCTCCTTAGCGTTTACATCACTGCTCCAGTTAAGGAAGTTTAAGCCTATTTGCATGGAAGAAAAGTTGCACATTTGATACAAAGAGATGGTGGTAATTTTAGAGCAGAAACACCCAACTCAATGTCCTTATAAGGACTGCCCAGGTCTTGCTCTGTAGTCTGAGTTCTGAACCCTAGATGGAGCTGGCACCTCTCTCAGGGTATCACTCATGGCTCCAACCTTCTTCCATGCACACTTCCTAAAGTCTGGACTCCCAAAGACAAGCCTTGGA